TAAAAAACTCTGAGAGTGGGTAGAATACTTTTTTCTTCAAAATTTTGCTACTAAAAGATTCATGAAACAAATCAGAACTTTTTTTAAAAAATGGTTCTTTGATTATTGAGATTCTAGGAAAATAATAAATGTAAATTATTCAAAATTTTTTTCAGACATAATATCAATAGTATAATGGGGAAAACTTCACTTCACGAAGTTTTGCGACTTTATATGATATCCTGGAGAACCCTAGTGTGATACAGGCGGCTTCCTAGCGGTAATAATCGTGAAGTATCCTACTTCTCTAAATTTTTTTCACAGAACACATTGCACCAATGAAGCACAATATGAATTCAACTTGTGAGAAACTCATTCATTTTTTCATCAAGATGTTTAATATCAATATTCTTTGATTAATATCCACAAGATGATATTAGATCATGGTTAAATCTACGATTATTTATATCTTATGAAAGCTGTTCTAAAGAATCAGCAATTTCTTTTCTTAATATACCTGTTATTTTAAATTACCCTCCTATTTATTTATTTTTTTTCCAACTTTTTGCCTCATCATGTCAAATAATGTTGAAACTTTATCATGTTACTTAATGTTAAAACTTCATCATGTTATACAATGTTGAAACCTAATCATGTTACATAACGTTGAAACCTAATCATGTTATACAATGTTGAAACCTAATCATGTTACATAACGTTGAAACCTAATCATGTTATACAATGTTGAAACCTAATCATGTTACATAATGTTAAAAGCCAAAAAGGCATAAATAGTGAACTGAAATTTATTTTATCGGAAATAGCTAAATATACAAGTATAATATATAGGGCCTATACAGACACTAGAAATCACTGCATAGACAATCGGAAAAACGCTTGATTCCCGGGGCACTCTACCCCATTCTCTGTGAAAATAATCTATATTATTATTTATTTTTATATTTAAAGTAGTTGTAAAATTACTCTTTTTTTAGTTTGAAATTCGTTTTATCTGATTGATTTATTTTAAAAGTAACATTTATAGCTTAATAAATCAAAGTTCAATTTGTGACAAGACCATTAAGTTTTCTTGGAATGTTTGCAATTTCAGTGAAAATATTTCGAGAAGAATAAGTTGTAAGATTTTAAATTTGTTTATTAAAAAACATGTAGCATGTTTATGTTCTGTTTCTTTACATTAAGCTTTACAGATTTTGCATGATTCCTTACATTATATATGAACTGTAAAGTAAGATGGATACTTAGTTTGGAAATTCGCACCAAATGTGAAAAAGACAAAAGACACAGCTCTACTCCAGCTTCAAATACGAGTTGAATTCGGACATCATGTTAGAATTGTATTTAGAACTGGTATTTATTTGTTTATTATTTATTTAGGACGTTTGCATGTTACAAATACAAGTTTAACATGAAAATATTTTAAGGACTTAATGATAAGAATTAAATTTAAAAAAAATTCATTTCTTATTATTCTTATTATTATATTTTTTAATAATAAGTTAAATATTTACCTAATATATCTTATTATAATAATTAAATATATATTTTTTATACAATAAAAATATTCATATTATTATAATAAAAATATTTTATTAATTACAAAATATTGATAAACATCTTAACTAATCCTTTGTACTCGGTTAGGCGAGACGAATTTCAGCTAGCTTACAGAGAAAAAACATCTTGCTCAAGACAGACGTTTTTAAGGTCACGTGACACTTGTTTACATATTACTCTGGGCGATTCCACAAAAAACGTAACGTAAGTTAAATTTCATTTCAGTAATAAGTTCGTCTTCTTTTTGCCTGAATCAAAACTTTTTAGCTAACTTTACAGAGTTTGATGAACTAATAAGCTAAAAATTCTGAGTCTGAAATGAAAATTAACTTATGTTTTTCGCGGAACTGCCCGAATTCTACTGACGTTATAAATTGGTTCTCCATATTAGAAAATAAAAAGACATATTTTTACCCCTACAAAAAGGTTGATATTTTAGATAAAACAACCGAGTTTAAAAAAATCCGCTCAGTTATCCCAGAGTAGACAACTCTTATTATAAATGATAGCAGATAATTTTTTTTTTTTTAAAAAAAAAAGAAACAATTTCTTTTTAAGTGAAATGTATTTTTGAATATGGTATTTGACAATTAGGCGTGAAATTTGTTTACTTTGTATTTGACGCCTCTAAATTAAATCAAACATTTTTTCTTCGCCTAAAAACAGTGCGTTTGATCTTATTGAAATTTTAAAATACGTCAAATTAAGTCGCATTTCAAAGTCTAGCCGATTTTCATCGTTTTATATTTTTTAATTTTACTTTAATATTAATTATAAACGAAGCTTTAAAATGGAACCCGCCAAAAACGTCACATTTGAACCGCAGATCGCGTGCTTTATATATTCAGAGAATTGAAGTTTGTAATAAAGGACTTACAATATGTCATGTTTCTAAATGGAATTGCGAGGTACAGTTTTATTTTTTTTATTTTAATTATTGCCCTTATAACACTAACCGCAATATTTTTTAAAGCGTAAAAAAAAGAAAAAAAACACTTGTTTGTATAAAAAACTTATTTAAAAAAACAAACTGGTATTTTAAAATTCAAGCTATATATTTTGTAATACAAGCTATATATTTGTTTCCATTAATTATTAAATTTTTTTTGTTAGGCTGCTTTATAAAAAGCCCTCATTCCTAGGCGCCATATTGCGCCGTTTTCTTTGATTACTTTCAATTAATTCAAATACATGTATAATTTCTTATAACTCTATTTGAGTTTACGATATATTCTTAAAGATAATCTAAAAATTGTTTAGAATTAAAATTGCTATTTTAAGAATATGATTATATTATATAAACATTAAGTTTAAAATTTGAAATGCTATAAAAGTGTTTAGTAAATTTAGCAATTAAAAATATCTTGGTAGATTATCTTGGTAGTTATCTGAATCAAAAGTAAACACTTGTAAACAATTTAAAATTGTTTTTTTTCTAGGGTTCGGAACTTATGCGCATATCGGCGAATATATCCGCATAACATTCAAAAGTTATGCGCATAGTTATGCGCATAGTTATGCGCATAGTTATGCGCATAGTTATGCGCATAGTTATGCGCATAGTTATGCGCATAACATGCACGTGATGCGCATACAAATTTAAAAGATAAATGCTATATAAAATTAATTAAATATAGTCAAATATAGAAGAAAATGTTTTTTAAATCAAACGCAGATGATTTTAAATTAAAAGAAATAACTTTTCATTCGATTTTCTGTAATTAATTTTATTTATAAACATTTCAAATTATTTTCATGATTTTTAAACGAATTTCTATATCACAAAACTTCACAATTTAATTTATTTTTGTATTACATTTGCTCATTTAAAATTTCTTCACACTCAAACTCGCTAAAAACTGTAACTTTCTCTAAAATGTAGCCATTTTTGTCGTTGTATCCATCAAAACACTATTGGTATATATGAAAACTAATTATTTTATGCGTTCGTTTGTCAAGAGATTTCTCAATCGCCAATGAATAAATCAAAAATCGACCAAGTTCTCTCTGCTTAAGCTGACGAAAAAATCATTTCAATTATAGATTTTGCAACTTCAAAGACTGGATAGTTTACATATAATAGAGTAGAGTGGGGAAAAGTGGGACAGCTTGAAATTTCTAATTAGGAGTGGTGCCTAAATAATGTTATTTAATGTAAAAAATTAAATTTAATCCCCTCTATTTATCAGAAATTGCTTTCTTTCCTCGCGTGTGCTAGAAGCCCAAATTTTGAAATGTACCTTAAAAAAGTGTTTACATTTGAGTGAAGTGGGATAGAAAAAAGAAATATTTATGCCCGTTTCTTCCCGTTGCCATTTGATTATTTTGATTGGTAAAAGCTCTTGAACAATTTTATGTCGATTAGGTGATTTCATGATATTATCAGTTTCAATTTAATAATTTGTGTTATAATTTAACATAATTATTTTAGATAATCTAACATAATTATTTTAAATAATCTAACATAATTATTTTAAATAACTTTTATTTAATAATTTGTTCCACTTCTACTCACACTTGTCCCACTTTACCCCAATGCACGGTGTTTTGATGGATACAAACGATAAAAATGACTACATTTTAGTGGAAGTAGCAGCTCTTAAACTATAAATTTTTCAGTTTTTTTAAATTAAAGCACTTTTATAATTAACAACTTAAACTTATGAACTATAAATGTACGGTAACTAAAAAGATTTAATAGTGGAATTAAATGTTGTTAACTTTTTATTCCACTATTAGAATTGATAAGTTTTTTGTTTTAAAAGCATATTAATTAAAAATTTCATGAAAACTAGAATTAAAATTCGTTTTTTGGTCTATCTGTCTAGTAAATCAATTGAACGGTTTTTAATGAAAAATAAGTTATGCGCATAAGTATGCGCATAATTATGTGCATAATTTATCGGCGAATATCTGCGCATACAAATTTTTCCGAGCCCTATTTTTTTTTTAACTTACTTTTAATTGCGTGTCAATAACCAATATTGTGACAATAGTGCACACGACAATATATTTTGTATTTGCTAAATATTTGAGGTGTCTCTAGTTCTTAAATAAGTAGACCAATTCTTAATTAGATCAGCAGTATAAAAATTTTATTCGTTTTTTTTAAATTACGCTTTTTAGTTATTATAGGAATAATTAAGTAAAGTTATTAATTTGACCTACTGTGAAGTACATAGTACTTTGGAGTACGTAGTACTCTGGGGTACGTAGTACTCTGGGGTACGTAGTACTTTGGAGTACGTAGTACTGTGGAGTACGTAGTACTTTGGAGTACGTAGTACTGTGGAGTACGTAGTACTGTGGAGTACGTAGTACTGTGAAGTACGTAGTACTGTGGAGTACGTAGTACTGTGGAGTACGCTTGTTTACTTGATAGCTATACTTCAGTTAAAACGTTCCTTCGCTGACACCTTTACTTTACTAAAAAAACATACAGATATGCTTCCGTCAATTTTATTTTCATTTAATATCTTCACAAAATATTATGTTTGAATTATAACAACTAGTCGCATAACTGATGCGTAAAGTCCTGCAGCACCAAATAATATTCCGACCGTAAGTAAAAATATATCCCAGGTTCTTTGACGCGACGATAAAATGTCCCATTTTAGCTTTAAGTGAAAATAGCATGGAAAAATGAATATCAAACAAGTGCCAATTAAACTTCCGCGTAAACCTAAAACAACTGCAAAGTACGGAACAAATACAGCAACCAGCACAGTTAGTGTTATAAGAATAAAACGGGTGCATGCTATCCATAAACAGAAAAATGGCACACTTGATTTGATTTTTGTATTTTTTATAAAATTATCAATGAACTCACTTATTATAAACATATTCAGGGGGTAATTTAAAATAGCATATAATAACGTAGTAAGTGAACAAACTACATGAGCTGAGCGATTGACTGTTGCCACATTTAGGGTGACAATACTTTGAGTTGTTGAACCATATGTTAAAGAACCTAAAAGGGCTACTAAAAATTTTACTAATGCTGTTCCTATAAATGAGCGATGAAGAACAAAATTAATTTTTGAACTTTCTCTCATAATACCTTCTGCGTGTGGAATAACGGAATGCACTTCGCATGAAAGCATTATTATTCCTGAAGCTAACGACAACCCGTTTGCGTTTATTAGTGAAATTTCACCAATATTATTTTTCCAGTTTTCAAGCTCCAAGAAAAACGCTAATATGATCGTAAAAATTCCAACAAGAACAGAAAATACCGCTGCCATGCTGAGATACGCCAAAACTGTAAGTTTTTTTATAAATAATGTCGGATATATTAACACTGAAAACAATGTTGTCAATAATCCAAAAGAAAAATTTGTACTAGAATGGAGCAAATCATGAATACTTTTTCCTAACAGTATAACGTTTACAACGCAACCAGAAAATAAATAAAACACTAAAAAAGCATTGAAAATATGGCCACCAACTTCACCCCATACACATCTGGCTATATCAACATAATTTGAATTCACTTTTTTACGCTGCTTAGTGTTGTGTGATACTACGTATAAACAATCAACTAACAGAATTCCTGTTGCATCGGCCATAGCGCTAATAATAAAAATTAAAGGAAGTACAAAATAACCCCCAGCTATAACGCAGTAAGGTAAGCTAAATATAGATGCTCCTAAAGGTAATATATTCCACATAGCATGAACCATAGACACGCCTAAGGAAGAAAAAAGTAACATTTACATATATTACATATATTTGATTATGTTAACATAATAAAATTTGATTAATTTGATTAACAATTAATTAGTACAAGATTTAGTTATCATTTAATTATTAGTTGCTATTTTTAATTAAAACAAACAAAGGTGTTTTTATTGCTTATTATGACATCATTAAAAGGCTTAGATAAGTTATACTTACCTATCCTCGCAGTCGGAAATACGTCATGATCTTTGCCGTGAACATCTACCATTTTAGTTAGGGGAAATAAACTTTCGTTATAAAACGAAAACATTGGCATAACATAAAAGTCTTTAAAATGCACAAGGGTTGTTGTGTCTTTAAGTGTTTTTTGATATATAGATATACGTGTAATATAAATAATATATTAGTTATATATATATATATATATATATATATATATATATATAAATATATATATATATATATATATATATATATATATATATATATATATATATATATATATATATATATATATATATATATATATATATATACATGTTTTGTAAATATGTTTTTTCAAAATATTCGTAATTCGATATTTCTTTTTTTAAACTCTTTAACCACTTTTTCGTAATAATTGTCCTGCTTTATTAACTTACCTAATCATTTGTTTTCCCCCATCCAAGACGGTAACAACTTGCGCTATTGTTATTTTGCGTAACCACGTGACTTTCCGACTGCGAGGATACTTAAAAATTACTTTAAAAACTATATGCAATTGAAAAGCTTTTAAAAGTAGCTAACTACCTTTGTCAACAGATTTCTTTTTAACTAGATTATCTAGAATTGAGCTGTTTGAAGATAAAATACTTTCTTGATGAGAATTTACTTGCATTTGGTAGTTTTCAAAAATTGTTCTTGTACTTTGATGGTAACTAACTAGCATAGATGGAAGAAGTGAAGTTGAAGTCTTATCATCAGAAGTTGATTCTTTAAAATTGAAACCTGTAAAACCATAGGTTTAGTATTAAAAATCTTACTTGAAAATTTAAATTAATAAAACTGTTTGTTTCTAAAAATAAAAATAATTATGCTAATTAAAATATCTGTGCGAATAAACATTAGGTATGTGCAAGTATTTTTTAATATCTCCTAGCAGAATTCTAATAACTTTTGCAAATTGATTTTGCATTACACAGCTAAGTTTTGTCATGAAAAAATTTGTGTTGCTTTGGGCAATCGGTTAAAAGTTTTTGTGCACTGTGTGCTCTGCTCTAGAATAACATGAAATGTTACTATTGAGTAGCCGTGAAAATCTGAGGATGTTTAGACCTGGGTAAATCTTCCAACTTGCAGTTATGTATATACACACACACACACAGACACACACACAGACACACACACACACACACATATATATATATATACATATTTATATATATTTATATATATATATATACATTTGTATATATATACATTTGTATATATATACATTTGTATATATATACATTTGTATATATATATATATATATATATATATATATATATATATATATAATATATATATATATATATATATATATATATATATATACATAATGTTAAATGGGAAATAAACAAGAAAAATAAAAGTTTTTGGAGCATGAAGAGACAGATACAGTAAAAGAACTTTGATGAATAATGAGTCAAGCGAGAATGAGTTTTGGTTGATGGAACTAGAGATGAAAACTCCTTTGAGCAGCAACCATGATAGTATTTGTAGAAAAGAATAAGAGATACAACTTTACAACAATGGGAAAGAGGCTAAAGCTTAGCAGATAGACCGGTTCTAACTCTTTTTAATAATTAGTTAATTCATCGGTATCGGCCTCGGTATCAACCTTTTCCCATCCATCGGCATCGGTATCGGCATTGGCCAAAAATGTGATATCGGTACATCACTAATATATATATATATATATATATATATATATATATATATATATATATATATATATATATATATATATATATATATATATATATATATATATATATATGCAAGGCCGGTGCGATAGGGGTGTAAGGGGGTGTAACACCCCCCCCCCCCCATCAATCACTTTTAGTTGGCAAATTTGACCCTTAGTCGGCAAATGTGACCCATTTTGACTAGATAGTCGGCAAATGTAGACCCTGTCGATAGGTTGGTCGGTAAAGTCAGTCGGGAAATGGCGTTAAGGCAGTCGGTAAATTTTAAAAAACGAGGATCTTTTTTTTTTTTTTTTAGACGGCAAAAGTTGTAATAGCACCCCCCCCCCCCCCACGTGACCCCTACTCGCGCCGACCCTGTATATATGTATATATATATATATATATATATATATATATATATATATATATATATATATATATATATATATAAATTTCTTTTGATAGTTTGACCAGAGTTCTGCTTTCAAGATTTTTACTAAGATTCCAATTTTATGTAATAAAATTTTGAATATAACTTACATTCTTCTGAAACAAACGCTCTTATAGCATCTGTTTTTCCCTGAAGGCATAGCAGTTGATTGATATTATCAGAAGGAAGAAATGAATCGTCACATGGCACCATTTTTTTTTTCGAAGCAGAAGATTTCAGTTTCTTCCTATTAAACTTGAAAAATTTCATAGACTAATTTTAAATAAACTACATTTTTTTTTTTTATCTTTTAATCAACCTTTCCTTGCAGGTAATACGAACTTCGAAGAGTTTATTCATACTAAAACCTTTTAAACATAAACCTCATCAATAACTTACAAAGTATTAAATTATTTACAACAAAATATAGAAACATTTATTAAAAATACAAATAGAAAGAATTTAAAGCAAAAGAAACTATTTCAGAATTTCATAAAGCCCAAAAATTTATAATTTAAAAGAACGAAAGATTTTGATTAAAGATTTCATCTTGTTTAAAGGACGAAAACAAATTCTTAACAATAATTAAAAATTAAAATAAAATGTTTATAACAAATAATAATAATCTTAAAAATAAATTATTGAAATTCTTTTATAAATTATCCGTGTGTTTTCTCTGATTTTCAATTGGGAGATTGCGAGTCGGCCGAATCCAAACTGGCATAGCGGCATGTTTATATTAAAACGAAACAGTTAAAAACCGAGGTTTTTGATGCGTCATATTAAACTGTATTTTTAAATATGCTTAAAAGTATATTCTTAGTAGTAATAATAGTATTAAAAAAAAAAATTCAATAACTTTTTTTTTTTTCACTACATAATATATAACAGAAATTATATTTGCATGTCGTCGATTTTTGAAATAAATTCTTACATATAAATACAAAGTGGAAAAATGCGTATAAAAATAAGCCTCGCAAAAAAAAAAAAAAAAAAAAAAAAATATATATATATATATATATACATATGTTTTTTCAAAATATTCGTAATTCGATATTTCTTTTTTTAAACTTTTTAACCACTTTTTCGTAATAATTGTCCTGCTTTATTAACTTAATCATTTATTTTCCCCCATCCAAGATGGTAACAACTTGCGCTATTACTATACCTCAAGGGTTAATTTTTGAAGCTTTGAGAAATTGAGTTAAAACCTAATATATTTTGTTTTTCGGCGATGATCTCTAAGTATTAACTTTGGTGTTTATTGTTTTTATTTTTAGCTCATATTTGGAATAAAATATTTATACATAATTTTTAAACAAGTTTAAAGCATGTTTAAAAACAGTTTAAAACTTTACGAATGCTAATGCAAAAAAAAAATAATAAATAAAATAAAGCGAGAAAAACCAAAAATTAAAAATTTCTGTTAAGTTAATAGTTTGGAAGTTGCGTTAAGGCTGTTGGCTGTCATGGTGGTTGTTTAAAAGTTTATGCATGATGAGATAAGTATATTAAAGAAGTATATTATACAAGTATAAAAAATATTCGTCGAATGTTTTTTTATATTTCTATTTCTACCAAACTAGAATGCACAGATGTCCGTCATGAATACTTATCAAACGCTTGAAAAATATTATAAACAACTTTAAGAATAAAATGGTCAGTTGAATGAACTTTTTTAAACTTATTTGAGGGGTTTACAAATTTTATAAGGCCATAATTTTTGAACGCTAAGAGATTGATTAATGAAATTTAAAGTTTATCGATGAATGTCAATTTAGTTAAGAATACTAAAAAAATATTTTATCAACTTGTTGGCCTCAGGTTTGGAGCAGGTGTAGCAAAGCTTAGTGCTTTTTTGTTCACAGGCTCCAACCATCGCAAGTTTTTGTAACCCAACTTTATTTGACATAAGTATAAGCATATAAATGTTTGCTTCATGTCTAGAAGTTAACTCAAACATCAAAAAGTGCTGTATTCGCTCCTGAACTGGTATAACTCTTGTAATTTTAAATTTATTGGAAATAATCATTGTCCTTAGTCCTCATGAAAGATATTTGATAATGGTACTGCTAAATTATGAATAGATTTTATTTCAACGTTGCTGCTTATTTCATCTACATTTATTCGTTTGTTCGGATTCAACAAATAAAAAAGCCCTTAATAACTCATTTTTAGTTTATTGTTATTCATTATTGATTTGTTAGCTGTTAAATATTTACAAGGTTTTAGTTTTATTGCTACATCTAACAAAAACTTGATTGAACGTTTTTGCAACTATTGATTAACTAAATATATTATTAAAATTGATTTTTTTTGAATGGCAATTACTTTTTATTTTTACCAATTTTTTTTTTACTAATTTTAAAGACATTTCAAGTTTTTTTTAGTTTTGTCTTTGAATTTTAGTTTTTGGTTTTTATACATTTTCTTAAAACGATTTATTATTAGCTCAAAAACACTTTTATATATTTTAAATTTGGATTTATTATCCTCCTCATTTTTTTTCATTTTGTTCCAGTCTTTGACATCAAGCTGTATTAGTAACTACTTTTATTCGTGTCACCTTGTTGTTGTTGTTTTTTATGTAGTTTTACTGGCAATAAAAAAAGTTTTTTTTTAATAGATTTTTTTTCAAAATGGTGTGCATCAATATGAATACGATTTGATCTCAACATTGAAGTAAGAATTTTTTTTATATATATAGTTGGTATATTTTGGTACGAAGAGGATTATGGAATTGTTCAAGATAACTATTTCGTCATTTTAACATTTAATCCATAATCAATAAATTTTAGTTTGGCCATTATTACGATTGAAGTGCACGTCCGTCACTTTGGTCAAATTATTGAACTTCATTCACAATTATTGTTTTTATGTTGCATGTTAGTTTTGAACTGTCTCTATGTATTTATAATTTTTATTTTTATCTTATTTTATTTTAGTTTTACGTATTTTTATTGGGCATTTTGTATAGTGTTTCTATATTCTTTGTATTATAGCAGTTTGATATAAAGTTTAAATTTTATGTGGTTGTTTCAAAATTTTAGATACTGCAGAGGCTACATATCATTAACTGCTACTACAGCTGTAGATGATTTTGAATTGTTTGAAGTATCTGATAATTTTGATAAAGATTACAAGATTGAAATGTGGAAACTCAGCCACGTGACGCTTCTGAAAATGAGTCTGAAGTAAAAGAATCAAATGACAAAAAAACGAATGATGCTGACTCTGATGATGAGCCACTTACAAGCATTACTACGAGAAGATTGATTTGGAAAATTATCATTAGGG